TGTTTAAAATGCATTTTAACATTCAATACGCCTTAATTGTAACGTATTAGATTATATTTTTGTCAACACATGGTTCAAATATGTTTTTTGTTTACACATGATTCAAATCTACTAATACTCCAGTTGAACTACGGTCACTTTAGTAAAACCATGGTTCATTTTCATAAGGGACTGCCAGTGACCGGCTGTTGCATGCATAAAATGCAACCTTTTTATACTGTATGATTTCTATTAACATTACAGAATAGATCAATATTATCTTTCAACTTTCAATTTAAATAACTGTAACTGCACAAACTATGTAGGCTACAATTTCAGTTTGTTTATTGTGAAATAACTCTGTCCTTCTGTCCTCTGATAAGCATTGTTCAGGGCTGCCGTTCCCAAAACTTTAATGCTTTCTTATGATACTTTTGGGAAACGCAGCCCTGAATGCACTGTCAGAAGTGAGTGAATGCTCTGTGTGATTGATTGGTTCTGTCTTCCAACATTTGCGTGTTCAGATGAGCAGGAAAATAGTTCTATCCTACACAATTGCTCGCTAACAAAGGTTATTCGTCCACTTCAATGCATATTGTACGCATTATTATTTTTTTGTTAAACAAAATCACTGGTAAATAAAACACCTTAGTATCGATATTTTTAGTTTGAGTATCGATACTTTCGATACTCGCGTCAGTATCGATATATCGATACTTCGAATCGATACGCCCATCCCTAATGAAAAGTCAATCAACAGCCATAGGCGGAGCGTGTGTAAGGCTGGGGAAGGCTAAAGGTCTCTGCACACTGAGTCCAAATTTGTCGTCCGAAATTTGCGCACATTGAAAAATAAATACGACCTCACGTTGTGTCAATCACGTTTACACACTGCCTCCGAAACTTTCGTCCGTCATAAAAAAAATTCGGACCAGGTTCGATTTTCTGTGTTTTCGCATCCGTAGCAAGCATTTTGATAGGAAAGGATGACGAATACGGGAAAAAAAACGGAAAAACGCATATGAAAAAGGAGATTTACCCTTCCCCTGGCCACGGGGACTTGGGGCAAAAATGGCACTAAATTGGACAAAAATGCCCCTGCACAAATAAATTAAATCTATTACATCTGTTGCTAACAAATTGAATATGAATAGACAGTGTCTATTGCGGCACTAAATTAGGATCTGCTCATGTTGCACCATATTTCACTTTAGGCGTTTTTACAGTGTTGCGCATTTGAACCAATCACACACAATTCTGTTGAGCTTAGGAATGCAATGGCCAATCAGAGGCGTTCAGATGAGTCATCGTTGAAACAGATCAGTTTTGTTGAGTGTGCGCGCGTTCGCTGACTGAATTCCGGACTCTTGCGAATTCTCTCATCATAAACAACAAAGCGCAGATGTACGATGTAAGTAAGAGATTCATTTCTCAGTGTATACAGTGTATGGCCAATCAGAGGCGTTCAGATGAGTCATCATTGAAACAGATCAGTTTTGTTGAGTGTGCGCGCGTTCGCTGACTGAATTCCGGACTCTTGCGAATTCTCTCATCATAAACAACAAAGCGCAGATGTACGATGTAAGTAAGAGATTCATTTCTCAGTGTATACAGTATAATTTATAGGGGTCAAGACCTGAGTGGGACTGAATCAGGATTTTGTTCACGGTAACATTACAAAAAGGCTAAGGTTTTATTTTGAATGTCTTTTCAGACCAACACATTTCTCTTGCAAGGTCTCCTTGAATGAGAACAAACACAATTCAGACAAACCTCAGCGAGGTTTTTATTACATAACTCAGAACTGAAAAACAAACTTTATTTTAGAAAAAATACACTCATAAAAGTTGCATTCATTTCTAAATCTGCTTAGATTTTCTCCTTTTGAATTCCCATTTCAAGTGGCACCACTATAAAGAATGTGCTGAGCTCCTGTCATGAAGGAGAACAAGCATCTCAAGATCCCCAATATATATGGCATCGATGATCGGGTTCCAGCCTTTGATTTATGGTTCATTATTCATGCACCAAAATCCTGAATTTTGACAAACTTTTGGTGATAGTTCATTAACCCAGAAAGATATAGTTTGGCATGTCAAATGTTTCATTATTGACTACTAGGATTTAGCCAAGCAAAAAGCTTAAAACAATCTGTGCCTACATCATAGAAGAGTTACTGAAATCTGGTAATTCAGTTAGTCTAATGAATTCAATGTAATGTGTTAGTTATTCCAAGGGGGCATTTGGAGACAGAGCAATTTGGGCAAAACTGGGCTGAATGATACTGTCTCCCTCTACTGTCCACACAACACAACACATGCCAGCAGCTTCAAAATAACAGCACAAATATGTGGTGTTCTCTGGGAATCAAAGTTAAAAGAATAGTTCACCCAGAAACCAAAGTTGCCAAATTTACCCACCTTCAAGTTGCTCCAAATGCAAATAGGTTTTTGATAAATGAGGGGGTTTAAAACATCTCCTTTTGTGCTTCACAGAAAAACAAACTCTGGAACTCTTGAAGGCGAGTAAACGATATAATTTAGATTTTTGGTGCACTGTTCCTTTAAATGCATCTACAAATGCTGACAAGTGCAGGCAATAATGTTTGAAACTCGTGAAAAATTACCTAAATGTATTCAAATGAGTAATACTGCATCATATCACAACAATTAATAAGTATGTCAGTATTGATGGGAATCAAGTTTAGTGTCATTTGTTCAATAATACAAAAAAAATGCTCATTGTCAGGTAAGTACTACTGAACACAACACACACACACACACACACACACAGAGGCACAGTTCCTCTAACAGCCACACAACCGATCGTGCAGTCAGCACACGCTTCTGTCGGATTAGTAGCTAGACGAGTGTTCAGGTGTCACACTGTGCAGGGGAGGGTCAATGAGGTCTCGGTCCAATCCTGTGCATGCAGCAAACAGCCAATCAGCTCGTTATGCTGTTAGCCTGGCATCAGCTGAGCTTTTTTTCTGTTAAAAATAAGACATATTTATGTATAAACCACAGACCTGAAAATGCAAATGCAGACAAATGTAAAAAAAAAAATTATATATTTTTTTTAAAACTGCTTCTGTCAGTTCCCCCCCAAAAAAATCATACATAATTTTTTTAATAATTATTTTTTTTTGCAGTTTTATTTAAAAATGTAAAGATTATACCAGACCTATTCATATTTATCCAAATTCTATCCAATATCATATGGTTACTTAATATGCAAACTGTTTAGTATTTGAATTTCAAGCAAAAATGCTAACACTTCAGATTAGGGAACACATTTTCACTATTATTAAAAGAGCTTTCCCTCAATGAACTCCTAATTTGCTGCTTACTGATAGCAAATAAGGTAGTTGTAGTTATGAAACCTGCTTCGTCAGTTCCCCCCCCAAAAAAATCATACATAATTTTTTTAATAATTATTTTTTTTTGCAGTTTTATTTAAAAATGTAAAGATTATACCAGACCTATTCATATTTATCCAAATTCTATCCAATATCATATGGTTACTTAATATGCAAACTGTTTAGTATTTGAATTTCAAGCAAAAATGCTAACACTTCAGATTAGGGAACACATTTTCACTATTATTAAAAGAGCTTTCCCTCAATAAACTCCTAATTTGCTGCTTACTGATAGCAAATAAGGTAGTTGTAGTTATGTTTAGGTATTTTGATTAGGTTTGAAGTGATCTAGATTATGGTCATGCATTAATATGTGCTTTATAAATACTAAAAATAGTCAATATGCATGATAACGAGCAACTAGTTAATAGTGAATAGTGTTCCCTATTCTAAAGTGTTACCTCAAAAACAACTATAATCGAGGGTCATATACTGCATTGAAATCCTCCTGAGAAGTTCATTTAAGAGTTGGGAAGTTGTGATTACGACAGCAGTTGCATTCAAATCACTGTGGAGCAATGTACCTTCTCTACAAAAAAAATATATATATATATACACATTTAACTACAAAATGATTAATAAAAAATGTGTATCTGTTTTATGTTTTCATTCAGTTTATGAAGGTGCTGTAAACCGAATCATTCTGAATTCAATCATAATTGTACAATACCATCATATTTGATTTCATTTTGCATATTTCAAAAACTTTGTCAACTACAGACGATGCATCCTCAGTGTCTGTCACTGAAACTTAGGTCTCATATCAAATCCAGAGCTTCCCACTCACAATTATCAATTTGAGGGTGCCATTCAACTCTTAAAGACAATTTTTCCAAAATGGCTTGAGCGCACCCTTACTTCTCATCCCTACATCACAGCACTGTCACATACCTGCCAGCAGAAGTGGCCCCAACAAGCATCTGAGCGGCTCCAGGGACGCCCACCGCGCTCAGAGCCGCAGCGTGTCCAGAGCCGTTCACTGGGCTGCCGTCTCCTCTAAGGATCCCGGTGCACTTCCAGTTGTCCATGTAATTAGCTGCAGATGAGATGAAACCGCATTCACGGCACAAGTTACATAATGTGATTTATTTCATGAAACATATCAGGTTGGGATATGATCAATTCATATTATTTTCCCTGTCTGTGCAGTGCTGTAGTCTTAGTTGTCATCATAAATAAAACTGTTTCAAATGTTTAAATTCATTTTTTAATATTTTAAAATAATTCATTAAAAACAATATTAAAAAAAAGAGTTGTCTTTAAAGAGAATATCTGATTAGGCAATGATAAAGAGCTATCACTGCGACTTGTCGTTCCCCCAGCAGGAAGCAGACTGGGCTGACGGCTGACCTTTCCAGAGCCGCACACAGCCATCGTCTCCAGAGGAGGCCAGCAGAGTGCTGGTGATGTTCCAGCTCACGCGCCACACCTGAGAGTTATGACTGTCAAACTGAGCCATCACCTGCACCTCAAACTTAGTGGGACCAGAGCTGTTGGCGCTCTCTCTCCTGTCAGAAACACACACACACAAATCAACTACACCGACAACATGCGCAGAGTCCAAGCAAAACATGATTACATGTAAAACTCAGCACCATGACGCGAGGTTTCTGGTGGGAGGCACTCACTAGCGCTGCACAGTATATTGTAAAAACGGACATTGTGATGTTCTGCTTTAGTTTTGCCTGATGTTTTATTTTGTGATATTTTTCCTGAGATATACATTGTGAATAGATTTTATTTTAAAAGACAGGGATTTTCAACAGGTGAGCTGAATAGCTCTATATGTTGGGAAATTTGAAACATATTTTTTTTTAAATGCTGAAAATAATTTTTTACAGAGCAAACGGAGTTGAATATTTTTTTTAGTTTAAGTCTCCATAGGCCACATTCACACTGTTTTTGGCCCATTAAAAATAACTATACTACTTAGTTTGAACAATTCTTAGTTTGATCATTTAAAATACTTATTTTGTTTTATGCACAAAAAAA